TGGGGGCTATAGGGAACACTATGGGGGTTTAGGGGCTATGGGATCACTATGGGGTCTGGGGGCTATAGGGAACACTATAGGATGGGGGCTATGGGATCACCATGGGGGTTTAGGGGCTATGGGATCACCATGGGGTCTGGGGGCTATAGGGAATGAACACCATAGGGAACGTTATAGGGTTCAGGGGCAATAGGAGTCTGTCGGGAGCTCTGGACCCACGGCCCCAGTGGGGTGGGTGCTGACAGAGCATCACCCCATTACATTTTCACAAACAATTCTCCATATTTAACCTTTATCCCATTATACACAGAGCATCCATTTTAATATTTGCGAAAAGCTGAGAGGAATGGTGAATTTGTCTTTCCAAACGAGCCGTGGGTCCAATCAGCACTGAGAGAAAAAAAAAAAACAATGGGGAGGATTCCACTGGTCGATGAATGGGGGGGAAAAAAAAAAAAAATAAAGATATTTGCCTTTACAAACGAACTGTAGGTTTGCTGATAAATGAAATTGGATGTTGAAAGATGAAAGAAGCAACGGGGAAAAACCATGAATTCTATAAGATTTAAAAATTAAGAGGGAGGGTTGTATATTAGAGGGGAATCTCAGGTATCAGGGGTTCTGAGAAGTCTGTGCCTCTTCAAAGAAAAGGAAAGAGAGAGGGAAATGGGGCCGGGAAATTGGGATAAAAAGGGAAGCTGTGTCCTCAAAAAAAATTGAGAGATCCCAGGGAAATGCCCCATGGCCTCTCCCTTTATTTGAATAAAATTAAAGGACTCCTCTGTCTCTTTTTTGACATAAACATTTGGTGTTTTATGGATTAATTTTCCTGATGGGGAAATCATTGCACCTGCCCGGCTGTGACCAGAACTGCACCAAAAGGGGGGAAGTGCCCACAACCACTCATCAATTGTTCAAGAGAAAAAAAAAAACTAGCCCCTAAAAAAAAAAAAAAAAAAAAAAAAAAAAAAAAAAAAACACCAAAAACAAAACTGTCCCCGGGGTTCCTGGTTCTGATTGGTGTTGTTTGTTTGCTTTATTATACACACAAGTAAAAAAAAATTATTCCTATTCTCTTTTTTTTTTTTTGCCTGAGAGCACCTGGATTTCAAAATCGTAATAATAATTTGGAGGGAGTTTACATTTTCCATTCCGAGGGAGGCTCCCACTTCCCTCAGCACACACCCGTCTCTCAAACCAAGACAAAGCGGATTTCGCCATTGTCCCATCCCCGTTAGAATTTCATTTTCCCCGTTATCCCATTCCCGGAACGCCCTGACACCCGTGTGTACAGAAAAGTGGGACCCTGGTGCTGTCCTGGCACCAGGAGCGTCAGGATGAGAAGGATGGAGGGAGAGGAAAATCCGGGATCAGGTGGATAAAGGGAGAGGAAAATCCAGGATCAGGTGGATGGAGAGGAAATCCAGGATCAGGATGAAGGGGGAGAAAAATCCAGGATCAGAAGGATAAAGGGAGAGGAAAATCCGGGATCAGAAGGATGAAGGGAGAGGAAAATCCAGGATCAGGTGGATAAAGGGAGAGGAAATCCAGGATCAGGTGGATGAAGGGAGAGGAAAATCCAGGATCAGGTGGATAAAGGGAGAGGAAAATCCAGGATCAGAAGGATGGAGGGAGAGGAAAATCCAGGATCAGGTGGATAAAGGGAGAGAAAAATCCAGGATCAGGTGGATAAAGGGAGAGGAAAATCCAGGATCAGGTGGATGAAAGGAGAGGAAATCCAGGATCAGCTGGATAAAGGGGGAGGAAAATCCAGGATCAGAAGGATGAAGGGAGAGGAAAATCCAGGATCAGGTGGATGGAGAGGAAATCCAGGATCAGAAGAATGGAGGGAGAGGAAAATCCAGGATCAGGTGGATGAAGGGAGAGGAAAATCCAGGATCAGGAGAGTGAGTGGGCTGGAATCATGATAGGAGCATCCCGAAATGCCGGAGTTTGGGATCTTCATGTGGGGAAAGGCCAGGAATGCAGAATCTGTTGATTGGGTATTTGGGAATGAGGAATTTGGGAATACAAAGCAGCAGGGTGGTGGGGGGGGGTTTCCCCTTTTCACCATCATCCAGAGCTGGAATGAAGCTGGAATCTCATCCCAGTGATGGTCGCCGTGCCACGATCCTCACTGGGATCAGCCTCTGGAAGCTCCAGCCCGGTGTCACCCGGGATGGTTCCACCCCACAGCGCTCCGGGAATCCCGTGCTGTGGGTCCTGGTCACGCCTTGGGGGAAAAGGGGGAGAGGAATGGATGCGGCAGATCCAGCTCGGGATCAGCTCCGTGCTGGAATCTCCGAGATCCAGAAACAGGCGGAGAAAACAATTTATTGATCGAGTGTGCAGAGCAGGAGCTGTGCGGGATTCCAGGGGGAATATGGGGCAGGATTCCAGGGGGAAATATAGGGCAGGATTCCAGATCGGGGCAGGATTCCAGAGGGAAATATGGGGCAGGATTCCAGAGGGAATATGGGGCAGGATTCCAGGGGGAAATATAGGGCAGGATTCCAGGGGGAATATGGGGCAGGATTCCAGGGGGAATATGGGGCAGGATTCCAGAGGGAATATGGGGCAGGATTCCAGATCGGGGCAGGATTCCAG